ACAAACACTCAAAAAAATGCTTGGTTAAATACAACCCAATTGCTGAGTTTGTCCCTATTTTACCCAGCACTGGGTTGTATTTAACCCAGCATTTTTTAGAGTGTATGTTCTGATTCAACGCCCCTAGCGCAGTCAGCTTAACTCAAATAGGTTTTAAACAAAATGCAAACGTTTGAGATATATTTGTGATGTGTAAATAAATAACAAATTGATAAATAATGACTAATTCTGACACAAAGCTCTCAAACAGCGAATTATTGCGCCGTAACCTCTGATTTAGGAATTACTTGTAGGCAAATTTTTTTTGTGGTTAATTAAACGTTGTTTGAAAACAAAGTATTTTACTTTTATCTAAAAAAAAGAATAGCCTAGGCTATCTCCAATCTTTTGTTTGGAACGTCTTTGTAGAATTCATATAGGCCTACCTAAATTTGCCTTAAATAGTCTACTTGTAGCTTAAATCTGTCTTATGCTTTAATGCCATGCCTTTCTATTGTGCTAACATGTAATAAAAACAAAAAATAACAATAATACAAAATGTGGTTTCGACAAAGCATTGGTTTACTTTTAAAAAGAAATAAAACAAGAATACGTTGCCTTGCAACATTTCCCTCGCAAATCAGAGAAATGCGAATTTGCCTTTTGCAAATATATAAGGTCCACTGGAAATGAGAATCCATTGGAAATCATTGCACACTGTTCGCTTGCCACATGAACGCCAGGAGGAGGAAACAGATGCACATTAGGGTATTCAAGTTCATTGGAGAAGGAAAGGGTTAATTAAATGACAGACCCCTCCCATTATTGACCGGCAATATATTAATACCCATGGCAGCCGGTGAAAGAAGCCGGTACTCGTTGGACAGGAGAGGCTGCGGTGCTGTCTGAGACTCTGTGGTGCTGAAAGTGCCGCCCGCCACGATGTGGTCCGTGTTTTTCGTGTTTCTGTCTTATTTAGACAGGAACTTTGTTAAAGGCGAATTCTTAAGCCAAGCTTCAGAGGCAGAAAAAGAGAGCAAAGAGCTCTTTTACATGCTCAACAACACTCTTT